TAAATTCCACATATGTACTACATTTTACCTCTGTACGCGCCACTGTTGTTTACTTGTTTTTTGGAGGCGCTCTCTGATTTACGGACAAGCTCCCCAGATTAGTATTTGACATATAACTGACCACTTCGTACACTCGATGCACCTGGGCGACTACAACTACTACCAGAACACAGTGCGTATGCAGCGGTATATCAGATTTTACATTCAATTTCATTTTAAATTTGAACTAGTTCATCTTACGCCTCCTAAAACTGATGACTCCTGTATCTGAACCAGTTGCGGAGTGAAGGGGGTCAAATAAATAAAATTAAAGGGCAATGCGTTTATTTTTTTATAATTCATGTCAAAATAAAAATATTTAATTAATTGCTGAAAAGTAACCTCCATCAAATTCGTGACAAAAAGTCTGATGTGAATACGCATTGAGTCCATATCATTTTAACTTTTTTTTATATTTGACAACTGCCTCATCATCTGCAACCGACTTTAGCTTACTTGCAATTTGTTACATATTTTGTCGAAGCATTTTTTCAAAATAACTGTTGAAACTTGGAGTTTTAATATCTAAGAAACCTATTACATTTTAGAATCTTTATCTAATTTATTTTTTATGGTTACTCATTTTTATAATTATTTTTAAAATAGCACAAAGTCTTGCTCTCTGACCAAGAGTACGTAAAAGCCAGAAAATTCTGGTACAATCTATAATAATTACTTATCATGAAACATACAACAGCAAAAAAAAATTAAAGTGAAAATTTTCCTTCTTGCCCTTTACATAAACACAGACCGATAAAATTTTAAACCAAACACTAGGCTATGCTTTTCAAAAGGTTTTTGATGAGCTGAATACCTATGTATGTTTTAAGCCACGAAAATTAAATAATTCCAAATATTTCGAATTTCCACCACCAAGAACGGCGGTGGCAACATTTTTACCATTAAGGCGATGTTTCGCATTGTGTTAGCTATGTCCTGTCCAAATTTGGTTAGTGCAACTCTCTCGATTTCGAAAATACATAGCTAAATAGCTATGTATGTTTTCAGCCACGAAAATTGAATAAATCCAACTATTTCGAATTTTCACGGTTTTTGGTTATATTTGTGGTTACTTTATACTCACGAGATATTTTTTTCACCTCATTATAGTATCGGAAAGTACTACTCGTCTTCTTCAAAATCCAGTTTGAATGTTCGAATATCTATTTCCCTTTCCGAGAAAAAAGAGAAAAATCAAATTACAAACACCTACATTCCAACTAGTTCATCAGGTTTTCGGCGTCGCTGATTACGAACCTGATGTCGATATTATAAAATTCGATATGGTGGATCGAATATGGCGGATTCAATAAAAAAAACATTGACATTTAAAAATTAAAATATTGTATAAAATTTCGAGAACCTGAAGAACCAATAGAATTATTTCAAATGCCATACCGAGTTTTGTGAAAAATTACATAACCTCAAATATAACGAACGTGTTTTCGCCCTTTTAGGTTAGGATATCTCTAAAACCTTATATGAAGAACAATGTTCAGCGCATCGAAAATCTTCAGGTCTGGTTTCTGGTTTAGAAAGTCAGTCACTTTTTGTGGGCCTGTAAAATTTTTTATACCTACCAAAATAATACCTGGGAAAACGTGAAAGCCACACATCTTATATTTCTATGGCAGATGTAGAAGCAATACGATTACTTAAATATTAGTACATTACCATTTCATTATCTATATATTATCTTATTCTTTTACGTACATTTATAAATCATCTTAATTACAAATCATAAATTATTTCATCTTACGCATGCAAAAAAATATTCGTACATAGCGATTTAATTAATTATTCTCTTTTAATATATCTCGTTACTCTATTTTTATATTTACTTATAATTGTAAATAACATAACCTTTTAACCTCTTGATCAATAACTGATATTTAACCAGATTATACTGGTGCTGTGATAAAGCACTTTTGAAACAATTCGCTATTAATAAAAACGTTTAAAAAAAGCGTGATATGGTTTCGTTATATATTTTTTAAATTATAGTAGTCAATAACAATAACATTATAAAAAGCTGATTACAAACTGTAGTCAGAAAGGATATTGTTAAGTTGCCCCTAGACGGTCAATCATTTTGATCAAAAGAATGGGTTAATCGATTGTCAAGCAGCTTGAGGGCAACTAAACTCAGAGAAAGGAAGCCAAAAGCATTGTTTCAATGGTAGATACTATATCTGATAAGCCTCAAAAACATAGGTACACAAAAAAGAACAAGTTCATGGTTTACACGAGAACTTTACTAGGAATGAGTTTTGATCAAAAGTTTGGCGGGTTGATTGAAGCGTGCGTCAATCGACTGACTCAATCTTTTGATCAAAGGAACTTATATTAAAAAAAATTTAAATACAAGAATGATGGGTTTCACTATTAGCAAAGATATGTTGACCAAAACAAAACGTGAATAATTTTCATTAAAAGCCACCAACAGGAACAGGCAGTGAAATAAGAGAAGAATGAATTGTAATACATTAAAATTAGACTAAATACAAGTAAGAAACTTGCTAAACCGATGCTAAATTCACTTTAAAACTGGAATAAACTGATTAATGCAGTGAGGCAGTGCAAATGAGGATTATGTAACTGTTGTTTGTTACTCTGTGTCTATGGTAAGCTGATGAAAATTCTGGAGAATGGTGGAAATACTTATTTTGATGGGTAATTGGTCTTGCAAAGTAAAAAAGAGCAAGAGTACATTTTTTTCAACAACTACTCGACAGCAACTAGGTACTTAAGAACCATCGAAGATACAGATTTCAAACTTGACACAATGAAGTTCCTTCATAGTAGCCACTATCAATATCTAAGCATATTTAGAGGTGTTGCAATTATTTAAAGAGTAATTTAATTAAACTTTCCTTCACAGATCTAGCCTGTTCTTAAATAATTTGCACGAAAATTAAAAAAAAGTGTGATAGAAATGTTGAAGGAGCCTTGAAAATTAAAACGGAACGATTCCATCTTAAGACAAGCACCTGGTGTCCTTATTTTTCAGGTTTACTCTTGTTACGGTTTTGAAATTGTTAACTAAACGAAATCACAAATCCATGGGTTATTTTGAAAATAGAACAATACAACAAAGTGTACCACAAAAGACCACAGATTCTTGGACTCAAAATTTATTTAAGCTATCCTAGTTTATGCAACATTAATGACTTACATCGAAGTTCAATTCGATACTAGCAATAAATTATTAATCAATTTGTTAATCGATTCTAGTTCAATTATCAATGGGTATCGTGGTCAAAAGTCAACTAATTGTTATTATTGTTGCTATCCAAATTTAATTTTTTATCAATCGCATGTATGTCTTTTAAAATCAGTTGATTTGAAACAATAATTATGCAACTGTAAATCCTTTCTCCCATTTCGTCATTCCATTCTCGTAAGTAATTTAATTTATCTTCTGGCTCTTCAAATTTGTTTTTAAATTTTCGATCACGTGAAATTACAAAAACATATTACAAATATCATGTTTTAATTTATGTAATTATCGTATATCTGTATGAGGATACCAAAAAATGTTTGTTTCGTAGCTTTTAGATACATCACATCATCAATAACACACTGCGATAAAAAATGGGCTAGGCAGGCTGTTGGCCGAACCAGTTTATGCTAATTTATCTGCTCATAATTCCATTATTTTCCCAATTACCGACTACTCAGGTCGCTAGATGAGTGTCTTGATGTTAGGTTCAAAACCGGAGTTGCTCTGGAAATTCTGACTGTAGATTCGGATTCAGCGGATCTTCCTTTTTTTTGGTAGCGCTTTGTAATTGTTTACTAATCTCAAGTAATACTTTTTCATCGGTTTGTTTACCTCAAGAGATAACTTTCTATCTATCTAAAAATTGAATAATAATAATTATACTAATATCATTTTTTGTGTAACACGTAAACCGTATCACATTAACCTTGAAATTATAAATATTTTGAACAGCATCAATATCGTATAGCTTTAACAAAACCAAAACACTCTTTCATAAATTACCATCTAATCAGTTTTAGAAACATCTACTTATTGTTAGTCTTACAGTACATAAACCTAACTCTAGCACTTAAAATTCTTTTATCTGCCACCACAGTAAATAGACTATTAATATACTGTTTTTAAGGGGGTAAGTGGATTTTACCGTAGAAGTGGAAGTCGCTATGGACAACATTACATTTTACTAATTATTATGAATGAATATTTACATTAATTACACACTTATTACATTTACTAACATTTATAAAATCTGAATAATTATTCCCCTCACGTTTACTAATTGTCACATTTTTCTCAAAATGATTTGACCACTCCATTTCAGTCACCGGAAGCCAATATTATCTGACTGATGCATTAAAACAGCATGATGCGACGTACTGCTAGACCCTGGAGTTGAAGTGTCATTGTAAAGAATCCTGTTGGCTATTTAATTTTTGTTACTGAAACTGTCAGCAATGTAACTTTCTGCAATTGTGGCTGATTTCCACCCACCATGTCTCTTGATTGCTAATACATCAACTCCTGTATTAGCCAGTAACGTTGCCGATGTTCTTCGGAATGAATGGCCTGTATATGTTTCAGGATGTTCTAGTTTCAAAAACTGTGCAATCTTATTAGGAATCATAGAAAGGGTATTCTTGCCGATTAGTTAGTTATAACATCTACCTGCTTGATAGCGCATAAAAAAGCCCGATTATCAATAATTTTTTTATTTGTTTGCTGATATATCTTCTTCGATTTTTCTTCGGCTGCGCCTCGTCTATTATATACCAGCCGCGGCATTAAATCTTGTGCTTTACTGCCTACTTAAACAGAAAACTATTATTATTGTTATAATTTTTTTTGGATTTATATATTTTTAAAAATTATATTTTGTTAACTACAGCAGAAATACCCAATTAAATAAAACCGTGTCTATTGACAATATTTATTTTAAATATTACCTCGTGTATTCCAGATAGTCCCATACGACGGCATGAAATCCACGCCCCGCAAGGCGCACGAGGGCCAGGCGCGCGCCAAGTACAACTTCGTCGCCCAGACCCACCTGGAGCTCTCCCTGGCCAAGGGCGAGCTGGTAGTCATCACCCGTAGGGTGGACGACAACTGGTTCGAAGGAAAGATAGGCGGAAGGAAGGGCATCTTCCCGACTTCCTACGTGGAAGTCCTGATAGACCCCCAAGACCCACCCTCGCCCAGCACGAAGCCGGTAGCCGCGCCGGCGGCTCATTCCCTTCTGCTGAACGGATCCGCAGGTGGGAAGGACTCCATGGGCAGCCACTGCTACACCCCCAGCCTGCCCAATCCCCAGCTGACGCCTAGCTACCTCGCGAAACCCGTTCAGGTGACCTCCGGAGGATCCTACGGGTCCCTGGGCAGGCCAGTCAAGAATCCCATGAATCAGACGCTGCATATTGACACGCAAAGTGAACCTATACCGTAAGTACAGTTAGAACTTCCATTGTTGTTGGTTTGTTGAGCCTCATCCCTGAATACAATTTACAATAAAACAATTCACAACGTTCTCCTGAAAATCCAAAACATCAGCGATTTTCTTGGCGATCTCTGTTGGATGGATTGCCGACAACATCGGCCGTCATCTTCTATAGCTTGGTATATCCAGAACAGTTTAAGGCTTCGGTGGCGGAATTCAAAAGATCGGTAAAAATTTTGATCGGGATGGCTCGAATAACAACAATGTCTTTGGACAAGTATACCTCTGCCTAAGCGCTTTTGGAACCTTTTCAGGCTCAACAGATGATTTCCTGATGTGAATTGGAAACAAGGGTGAAAATCTTAGATCTTCTATCGCCGTTAAAATTTGACTACAAAAACTTACCATGCTAATTTGTAGCATCATCAATTTTGTCATGAAACATTTTTTGTTTGCAGCTACCGAGCTCTCTACAAGTACAAGCCCCAGAACGACGACGAGCTGGAACTCCTAGAGGGCGACACTGTCTACGTCCTGGAGAAGTGCGACGACGGCTGGTACGTCGGCTCCAGTGACAGGACTGGGGCTTTCGGCACCTTCCCCGGGAACTATGTAGAGAAGATCTAGCAGAGGAGGACGAGACCCCTAATTTATTTTTCTTGTTGATTTTGTACTCTTTAACATATTGATTTTGTTATTGAAATGATTTTTTTAACGTGCCTGATTGAAAATTGAAGAAATTTAAACAATTAACTGCCATTTTCAATTTGGAATAGGTACTTTTTGAATAGTTTTAAAGCTACTAACAAGTGAGGCATTGCACGGGAGATTTTTCGGTGTGCCAAAAGGGCCAGTTTATTTAATCGTGGATTAGAATTACGGGTTAGAATGATGACAGCTCCTCAAGACTACCGGGATAAAAAATTGCAACATCAAATAGAACCAACACAATTCGAAGCTAACAATTATCCATTGCCATATACAAACGTAAGCAATAGTATTTCTCTCTAGTGTTTAGAAAGACGATATTAATGTTGCAATTTCCAAAAGTTACAAAACCTAGCAAAGCTTCTAGATAACTGAATAAGAGATAAACTAGTTTTCGTACATAATAAGCATTCTAGTCACTAGCCAAATGATAATTGTAGGTTTAGGAAGACCGCCCATTCGGGGAAACAGTGGGATTCATTATTTGCACCAAAAAATATATATTAATATATCATCAAAATGTTCTTCCATAATATATGTATCTTGTAAAGAGAGATATTCTTTTCTAGGTATAACCCACTTGTATTTGAAAATATATATCCAGCTGTAGGAAAAGTACGTTTACCCCCAAGTCATATATATTTTCAAATGATTTTATGTATCTAATTGTAATCTACTGATTTTTCAACTGTTTCCAACCAAAGATACGCGCAGGGGACGGTGAAAAATACACATCTTTCATTTTCAGTAAGACGTAGCTCGACTTGTTCCTTTTAACCGTTTGTATAAGACTTACATAATAGGAGTGCCTTTCGAATACAATATTTACCCCTAGTTGTCTGACAGAAAACGGCGGCATCACAATCCAAAATTGATATTTTTGTTAGGGCAGCAAGAGGCAGACGAAATAACGTAATTTTTGAAAGATTTTCAGAAATAGTCAATATGGTGTCGCGAGTAATTTTTGTCAATATTTATTGTTATTGTTTACAGCTTAAATCATAGATTTAATTTGTATTTACATTGTTAGAATACATTTTTGCTTCGGTCAGAGAGCATATATATTTCACCTATGTTTATTTGTAACTTTTCTGTTTTACAATAAAATATTTAACGTTTATTGTGGTATTTATTCGAAATAGGGATATTTCTGCTGATTTCTAGCTGATTGGGAAAATTGGGAAAACATTTCGGATTTTCGAGCCCCACGTTGGGCGCCATATCGTCTTTCTATCATCTTTTTCTCGGGAACTACCCCTAACAAAAAAGAACTGGCATTTTTACCGAGATCCCCATGTATCGCACCATGTGGTGCTGGGACACCTCCCTCATCACGCCAACCTCAACGGAGGCGAGGCAGATTCCTAGTAATGTTCCCTAATGCACTTATGTTTTTTAGTAGTGATACTTCGCTTTATGGAGTACAGTAGTGTATTTTATCACTGTCTTTGAGTGCGCTGGGCTAGGGCAGTAAATTTTATATGTGTATGGCCTCTTTACAGTGCCTGTATGGAAGCTTTATGGGTTCCTGTGGAGTGTGAGGCCTCTTTAGAGATACTATGTATGACAGTTTTAAGAGCTGTATCTCCCTCAGGATCTTCACCACAGGGTGGACAACGCCTGGGGGGTAGTGTGTTATATTAAGAGAAATTTTTTATAAAATTATGTCATTTATTGAAATTTTTATATTTAATTGACAATAAATATGAGGAAATAATACTTGCATATAAAGCAAAATAAAAATTTGGAGTGTACAAGATGTACTTGCCAGGATCCGTCGCTGGTTATTGAACTGGAAGGTAACAGGGTTGACGTTCAATCACAGTCTTTGATGGCTTCGTAGAGATCCCGTAGTAAAGTCCGCTTTAGGTTCGGACCATTGGTCGTTATGTTGGTATTTCTACCATAAACAAAATAGCTATTTGCATGGCTATTTTGTCTGTACTGCTACCGTTATTTTTGGGTCCAAAAAAAATAAGTTTCAATATAGTCATGAATTAATTTTAATTTCAGCTCAAATATCATAAGATATAACATAATAACATAACTATGATTACATTTTCACCGTTTTCAAAATATGTAGTATTAAGTTTCGTAAACATTATTTAGCTTACAAAAAATGATAGAAGAGACTAACAAGGAGTCAATATCATTTAAATTTGACAAATTAAGAACATTAGCTATCTGTTATTAACTGATATACTACTCGTACATCTAGGAGCGTTTGGGCTTTTCCAATATTTTAAATACAAATAACACTCAACGACTGCTATAATGCAACAACATTTAAGTGTTCCATGTACCTAGAATGACTTATTGTAATTATTATTTTGTCAAAGACCAACGTACTCCTACGTATTCTCTTCCGTATCACGTGTAACACCTGGCACGGGTCATTACGATGTAAGTTATAAAAAGTTTACCCCCTGCTCATTTTTTCACATATTTTTATCAAAATGCACGCTGTGGCTTTGTTTAAACGTGACCCTCGCTCCATTGTTATGGTAACATAGTTTTGTGTAAGACGACGACACGTTCTAAGATAACAATGCGCAATGTAAATATATTTATTTAAAATACCTAAATATAACAAACAAAAGCAGCGATATTTTTAAAGTTAAAAAGTAACAAAAAGTAGCGAATAACGCATCAGTATGTATTTTTACACTCTCATTAACATGCTGTTTACGCATTTTCAAATGTTTTTTTCTAATAATAATTTTATTAATAATTCAAAGATTCAAGATCGATCGAGTCGAATTTTGGGTGATCTTCAAAGAGCTGTAACTTGGAGGGAAATGACCGTCGAGAGAACAAAAAAAAAAGGAAATTGAAGCTTCAAGTGTCTAGTTTTCAGATCTGCTGTTTAAACATTTTTAGCGTCAGCAGTTTTTGAATAATCATAAGAAAATCAACGGAAAAAATAATTTGTAAATTTTTGCTTTTTTTAAAAAAGCCTAGGTACTTCAAAAAAATGTTTTTGGTTAATTACATCATAAAGCTCTTTTAAAAAAATCATTTTTGACTTTGACAGTCAATTATTCGGAAAATAATTACCGTACAGAAAATCCAAGCAGGGTTTTGAAAACTGCAAAGTATTCTCTACAAGTCGTAATTATGGGTTTTCGGTAAAAAAAAAATTTTCAAAGTGAAAATGTTGGTTAGAAAAAAGGTAAAAAATTGCATAATTAGAGATATTTGAATAACTTGGCTAAGTTTGCAAATAATGAATAAACTAAGTATATCGACTGTAACTTTTCGACCTCAAATTGTCTTAAAGAAACCCTGATAATTTCAAAACACTGCGATTTTTTTTCCTAGTGCCCGGAATGTTTAAATTTGTCGTTATGCTGAAAATCAATGTAATAAAAGTAATTTTTCACTTTTTATTCAATTTTTAAGTTAAATTTTTTTTAGCAATAATCCATATTTTCTTCATCAAAAAACGTTCATGATTCTAAAAAAAATATTTTTTTCAAAATTTTTTCTAACATCCACAAGCTTCGCAAACGTAAAAAAAGTTTGTAAAACAGCCTGGGTTAATTGATGGTGATTTTATAATTGCGGATAATCTCGTCGTCATCGACGCCCGAGCATGTCCTAAACATGCCCAATGGGGTTCAAGTCGGGACTCATAGGTGGGTGGTTGAGAGTTACCACATTGTTGGCGTGAAGAAACATTCTCGTACGTTTTGCGGTATGAAGATGAGCATTATCCTGCACGAGAATGAAACGATTCCCCATGCTTGTACGCGTGGGCAGGACGTGTGGTTAAAGGATTTCGGTGACGTACCTTTCGGCAGTCGATATCCTTGGTTTATTCATTATTTGCAAAGTTATGCCAAGTTATTGCAATTTTTTACCTTTTTTCTAACCAACATTTTCACTTTGAAAACATTTTTTTTAACAAAAAACCATAATTACGACTTGTAGAGAATACTTTGCAGTTTTCAAAACCCTGCTTGGATTTTCTGTACGACCAATATTTCCCGAGTATCTAATTAATTGTCAAAAGTCAAAACTGATTTTTTTGCTTTGATCAACGATAACGGCGACAAATAATCATACAAGGCTCCGGAACCGCTCAAATTGAAGAGAATTAAATTATCTAAGAGCCTTATGATGAAATTACCAAAAAAAAAAAAATTTAAGTCCAAACGCCTGTTTAAAAAAAGGAAAAATATACAAAAACATTTTTCTGTTGATTTTCTTATGATTACTCAAAAACTGCTGACGCTAAAAAATTTAAACTGCAGATCTAAAAACTAGGCACCTGAAGCTTCAATTTCCTTTTTTTTATTCTCTCTACGACCATTTCCCTCCAAATTACAGCTTGAGTATCATCCAAAATTTTGGGATTTTTTTTAATATCCCTTAATTTCTGTGCCTAGTGTATAATCGTCATAACGACAGTCACGTCGACTGCTGCTTGCCAGCCGCGGCATTATATCTTGTGCATTACTGCCTAATCAAACAACTATTAAATAAGAGTAACGGAATATATACACGTCATTTTTGCTGCAAAATGAAGTCGTAAAGCTTCTGTAGCAGACAATCGACAATTAATAACATGATCTCAAAAGACAAACTTTATCGTCTGCTTGTTGCGCCAAAGATAATTAAACAATTACACCTATACAGAATAATGATGACCGAAGCTATAATAAAGACATCCAACCTAACACTGACTTAGCACGTGCGACTGGGAACACGTCTGGCGTCTTCGCCGTTGATAGGATTTTGCTTGCTCAAGAGAATACCTCTTATCTCCTGTCTCATATCACCGCTCGTTATTTCATACAAGATAAGCTGCGGTGTGTCGACTGAGGGTATTTGTTTGGATTCGGTACGACCTGCTGCCAAGGAACACCAGTAGATAAGAGTTGAAATTTAAACATACAATCATAGGTACATCAATCGTTGATAACGGAACAAATGGTCCAAAAAGAGTTTTGAAATGTTGGGATGGTTCAAATATTTTTCTCTGCTCATACATGTGTTGGAAATTATACTTATAAAAGGTTACAATTTTGATCAAATATTTGTACAATATTCTTCGGAGTGTATTGAATAACCTCATATACCTAGAACCCAGGTTCGAAGAACAGCAGATATCTGAAACCTTTGGGTGTTTCCCTTTACCGATGCTAATATGGTCTTTTCTGAGATACACCAAACCCCGCGTGACACCATCTGAGTCGAAAGAGCTAACAAATTATGTATTCAATCATTTTATTATTTAACTTACATTTCTAGCAAAAATACATAGTCCACAGTACAGGCCCCCTCTGGAAAGTTGATTACCACATACTTTATAACTCCTGAGGAGCTTCGTTTTGACGACTCTACCACATTTTTCCTCTGCGACTTTTCTCGATTCATCCGCTTTTCCACTCGGAAAAGTCCAAAAACATGGCAATTTCCCGGGGTCTTGAAAAATCAAGACCACATCTTTTATTTTTAGCCTAAGTAACTGGAAATTTTGTTGCAAATGCCGATTTAAATTTGTCCGACAGAAATTCTTCCGATATTGACGTGTCTACCGGTCGAAACATGCCAAAATAACAGGGTATTGAAAATCAATTATAGGTAATTTTTAGTAAAATTAATTGTAAATAATTAATTCAGTCCAAAAGTATTGTTGTCCGACAAATTTCAAGCCAAAGTTCATATATATAATTTTTTATTTATTTTTATTAATTATTTCAGAGTTTTAAAGATATTGACTCGAAATTTGAAAAACGTTTTGGAGGGATAAATGTGCATTTTTTGGCGTGATCCGAATATTTCTACTTGCACCAGTGGCGTTCGTGCGAGAATTCCACAACCTTTTTTAATACAAAAAATGGTACGCCACTGACTTTTTCCCGTTTTGATATTTTTTTACAAATCCGCCATCAATTCTAAATGAAATCGGTCACTTCAGTTTTTTCCATAGGATGCATCGTTTTTGAAGAAAAAAATAAAACATATTTTATTGTAGGTTTTGTTGATCTTTTATTATAGGTCTCTTTTATTATGGTCAAAGAAAAATGCAATTCAACATTGAAAATAAAAAGTTGATACGAATATTTACCCATATTCTTCGATTTCGAGATACAGGATGCTCAAAACTCTTTGGAATAATTAATTAAAATAAATAAAACATTGAAATTTAAACACTCTGTATCTCGGAAATGAAGCATATTTCGACCTAGGTTTATATGAACTTTTTTTAAAAAATAACTTCGACGACCACCCCCTAAAATATTTCGCACTTATTTTCAAACACCCTGTATATTAAAAAATATATTTATAAGACTGATTAGATGGAAGATGTACATTTTATATAAATAAATAATACATACATATGTACATTTTGCATAGTCATTGCAAACTTAAGTAGCATTTAATATAATTGGGTTATCATTAGATACATCGATGAATGAATGATAAATTGTATTATATTTTATAGTTTTATAAACGTTGAATTTATTTAGGAGTATTAAAAAATAAGACGCGTTAGGATAATTTTGTATAAATAAATCGATATGTAAATGCTTTGTTTAACAAAAGAAAATTTCAATAACTTTTTAAAAGGCCATAGTTAAAGAAAAGCTTAATTTGTTTTTTGTTATTACTTTATCAATAGTACATACTTTCAATTTACTTATTTTTCTCATTTTTGCTAAATTAAATGTTCAAACCACTGTATTTATCAATAATAACATACAGGCTGTTACAAATTCGCTTCTCACTACAGGGATCTCGGAAACGGTAAGAGATACGAACTAGCTTAAAGGAGGAAATACACATACCAGTAAAATAGGTAAGTAACTTCCATGCTAAGAAATGGCATATGCCGGCAGATGGCACACTGCTGATACATTTGCAAGTAAAATGAATCGTCTCGTTAGTATATGGCTTATTGGATTGTCAGTAGTTAGCAAGTAGACACGTTCCGACATGCCACTTGAACTCCCCCGAAACCCCCCGCCTCACATTGCATGCCAAAAAATCAAATGATGTGCAATTTACTTGCGCGCCTTCTACAGGCATGCCTTTTAATAAATACACATACCAGGAGCTATCTTCTGCAAGCTACTTGCATGCTATTGTGCAAGCAAGAGGCATGTGTATTTCCGCCTTATATGTGGACAAAGTTGCGTAATCAGAAGACCAACATTATGCTTTTAAAAAATCAAGGCTAACATGATTAGGTTTTTTAAATATTTTTTAAAATACGGCCCCATAAATTTTATTACATTTTTTGCAAGCCTTCATGACCCCCAATACTGTATTGCCTCAGCCCGAACCAGATTCAGACGTTTTGTCTCAAAAAATTAATCTTCAATGTATTCCTCCCAAATCTATGGAAATTTTTTATTTAGATTTCTATGTTTATTGAATTACACTATGTAGTTAAATTTTGAGTACCTACTTGAGAAACCTAGAAGTAACTATAGACAAGGAAATAAAACGCTAATAATGTTTTGTAGTAATGCGTGTTGATAATAATTTAAATAACTAGGCGGATTTCACAGGGTCTAACGACACTTATGATTTAATAAACATAGAAATCTAAATAAAAAAATAAAATAAAATATAAAATAAAAATTTGAGCGAATACATTGAAGATTAATTTTTCGAGACAAAACGGTTGAATCTGGTTCAGGCTGAGGCAGTACAGTATTCTCCAATGAAGGCTTGCAAAAAATGTAATAAAATTGCCAGTGCCGTATTTAAAAAAATGAAGTTGATGATGGTCCTGGAAAGACGAAAAGTTACATATAAAAATTAATTATGCCATTCGATAGAGGGCTAAAAGTTGCCATTAGAAAGTGTTTTTCAATATCACCTCAAACAAGGCTGAAATGAAACAAAAACGGATTTCCAAAATTTCAGTTGTTTGCAAATATTTCGAAAACTATCCATTTCACCCTTGATTTTTTAGAGGGATAATGTTGATCCCCTGATTACGCAACTTTGCCCCCATTTACGTTAGTTCGTATCTCTTACCGTTTCCAAAATCCCTGTAGTGAGAAGCGAATTTGTAACAGCCTGTATATAATTAATATAACTATACATTTCCAATTTTTTCATTTTTTTTAGTATTTTGTCACACTCCAAAGTTATTTAATTTTTTTTTAATCAACAAATAGGTAAACCTTAAGCCTGTGGTATTTTCAAATTTTTTAATTTAGCGTATTTTTTCTAATTACGATAATTTCATATGATAATGTACTTTATAATTTTTGCCGAAATACCAAACTTACTGCCTTGGCAGTGTCGGGATTTGAAGTTTTTCATCCACGCGTCCGGTGTACCACAAGGGTCCATCTTGGGACCTATCATATTACGTTTCATACATTTATACATCAACACTTACATCGTTGTAAAGTTTTTGACGCTTATAATTAAATTTAAATTGTCAGTTTTTTTTTTCTGGAATTTTCCCATATCCGAAAAATAAGAAGCTATTATAACGCTTTAATAAAAAAAATCCAAAGGGTACTTACAGTGGATTCCCGCACACAAAAAAATATGCCTTGCCTAACTTAAAAGAAACTTATCTTTGACCTACACTCCCCTGTCTTTAAAAGATTTTTCTGAACAAACTAGTTATTAATTACTTGATAGCCAAAAAGCAGGCTTTTGACCCGCTTTGAATAATCACAATGTTTAACACTATTTATAGATAACTCACGATAAATAGCACCAAATAAAATACTCAAATACATGAGTAGATGATGCAACAGATCACATTTTGCATAGTCATGGTGAAGAAATATTTTCCAAATAATTAGCATTCGTTATAATTATGATTTCAAATGAAATACATATCGGTGGAAGTGATTCCATGAATCGAATTTAATTATACATGTTTCACAAGCTTCCAGTTCATTCCGAAAGAAAACAGAAAAGTGTCGTGATAAATAGTAGTCTAACTTTCTGCTTTAAGTATAAAAAAGATATATTAAAATTTTGAAGATGTAAGTTTCTTGTATAATCATTAAATATATAAATACAAGAAAAACTGTGACTATTTTAAAAATATTTTTTTAAACTAAGGTATTGTCAAATTGTACATTAGTTTTTTATTTTACAACTGTATTTTTTTTATACAGTTTCGAGTTGAAGTATAAAAAAACCAAAATAGAAGATGTAACTGTTATTCTTCTATAGTCGATTTCGTTTCTCTTTGCCAAATCTATTACGTACCTATAAAGCTATTATTTTCATTAATTGGAAAATAAAATATGAATACACGAAAGTAGTTAATAATTTCTTAGCTTTAGTTTACATAGAATGCAGTAATTAGAGATGAAGACATATTTCGCACTTTTTGCAAGTGCATTTTATTGACTGAAAAATGTATTGCATCATTACAAATTTTTCATTTTTGTTCAATTAAGAATAATGAAGATCTGTTTAAGATTAACGACAAAATCATTTACTGTTTAATCTGAAATCAAAAATTAAAAAGATAAGATTGGTAAAGCCCAAGCAAAGAAATCGTAATTTATTAAAACAGCTTCAAAAATATTTAATCTCCTCAAGCGATATGCATATTGTATATTGTTTCATAACGAACAACTTCACCATACATTGATAATGATTGTGTACAAAAATTCTTTCATCATCTTTTCGGAATATGAATGGCTCGAAGTGAATTCTATAAAAGTGGGAGAACAGCGGCCTGTTGCATCAGTTGTGAAAAATTCTCCATCGAGCTTACATTTCGGGTTTTCCCTAGTGCGTTTTCTCAGTTTCTCCAGTCGCGCTCTCGCAATCTAGTTAGTTTGTTGGTGATAGCTTCGAGGAAGTGATTTACAGATTTGACACAAAACCGTAAGTAAAATTAGTTTTTTTTTTTTTTTTGTTTTGGTTTAGAATAGGTTTCGGTCTATATGTTTCTGTAACGTTGAACCTAATTTTATTTAAAAAATGATTAAAGATCAACACTATTGCAAATTACACATTTTTCGTAGGTAGATCAGGAATACACAAAACCTGTATCAATTTATGACTGTCAGTTTACTATTTTAGTGCAAAAGTCCTTGTTATTTGTATTATTTTTTAAATTATTTTGAACAAAGAAGACAAAACAAAAAATTGCCGCACAAAACACTTGTAAAGAACGAATCAATGAACCTTTTCAATCCATATTATTATTGGTTTGTTGGTGTTTATTTAAAATTAGATAAATGAACATTCGGCACGATATCTAATAACAGAAATCTCATATGTATAGGATTTCTCACTGAAAATTATCACACAGGTAACTTTTTTATTTTTTACTCATTGAAAAAAGTAGGCCACAAGTTATATGATTCTTTGCATGCTTCAAAATTTAAAAAAAAATAACAATATTACATCGCATGAGCGAGGTGCAAGTAATTTATTATGGAAAATCCTACATTTTTATACTTTTTTAAAATCTGCTTGTTTATCTGCCTTCAAAATTATAAATATAACTACTTCAGTAATTTTTTTCTAGATAAGACTTTTTATTTCGTATTGGCACTAACAATAAGTATATTTCAATGTGCAACTGCTGCATCCTTATATTATTAAATTTAGGTTAATTGATAATAAGAAGAAACGAAGAACAGTTACAGATTAAATAACATGAAAAGAGTGCACAAATGTATGACATTTATAATTCTTAAAAACACAAAAAATTAATAAATACAAAAAAACATACATACATAATATAAAACAAGCAGTTAATGTCAAAAAATATGAATGACATTGCTGTAAATTTGAAGTACCATTAATATACAGGGTGATTCACAATATATAATTACATGTGCCCAATTTCAAATTATTTCACTTACTAGTTTTTAAATTATTTAAAAATATATATTTTTTTGAAGTTTAACACCCTATATCTTTTTAACGAAGCGTCCTAGATAAAAACTTTATAGGAAAGACCCCTTAAAATTCACCAAAGAATACGAGGTTTCAGTTTTGGTCACTATTTGTGAATCACCCTGTATAAGATATAGCAAAAACGGCATAAAAATGTTACGAACCGATTTTTGCAAATTGTGAATATCAGAATAAAAAACCGACGAGAACGAATACAATAAAATAGAGAAATAATTTGTTATAAATATTTATCGAAGGTTCTTTATCTTGATAGTAAAAAACTGCCACATCATTCTCTGTTTGTAACTGATTCATTTATATAATATTTAACTACTCTCTTCCAAGATTCTAATCTTCTTACATATCTATACTAACCACATTTCGAAAACAAATGAATTTTATATATTTATAAGTCTCTCAAATTCTGAAAACAAGACATCCTTTTTTTCCGTTTTAATGAGTCAGAACATATTTAATAATAATATTTTCTGCTACTTGTATCGTTAATCTTTTACACAGAACCAATAGATCTGTGTGCGCAAGCTTTGAGATAAATTTAAGATTTAACATTGTAACAAATATCCGTGCAAGTTCCAAATATTAATCATACTTCAAAAATACTTGAAAAATTAAAAAAAATTGTAACAGCACAAAATACATTTTGAACCTTTGTTGAAAAAGGAATTCGCGATATGAGGTTCACGAAGTGTTATCAGAAAGCGAGTTGAAATATAAGTGGATATATATTTTTATATTTTGTTTACTTTGCTCTTTAACCTACAAATAATTGGATCATATCTGCAATAAATAATTTATATATTTTGATGTTAAAAAACTTATCAGCATATTCTCGTCGAAATTAGGAAATCGTAAACAATTAGTTAAGATTATTAAAGGGAAGGGGGATAACTTTAAAACAAGGATTAATAATCATTGATATGAACGGGGTATCAACTGAACGTAGTTGTCATCAGTTGAAGTCGAAGGCCTTCATGAGGATCGTCTTCAATTGTCTGTTCAATTTAAAATGAAATTAAAAATTTTTGGTACAGATTTATCTTTGAAGTACAATGTAAAAGGGCAAGGACTATAATCATGAAAATCATGTAATTTGAAAATAGATTAATACAAAAGGATAAATCAAAAAATAACAAATGAGCAATATTAATTAAATACAATGACAGCATAACTATTAAAAAAAATCTTAAGAGATATGTGTATAAATATGGTAGTTTTCTTTAAATAAAACACCCTGTACGTCGACAATTATGTGGTTTAGGGTATACCTTCTTCATGATATCATTTGCTAAGAGAAAGTTTGTGAACATATGTACAAATTTGAATTGGTCTAAAAAATATAATATGTATGGAAGGAGGGCAAATTTGTATTGCAAGTGGCTTCTAAAACCAAGATATTGAAGAAAAATCCAGAAAAAAATGTAATTAACGCAGCATTTTATATTCTAAAATTCATTAAAGAAATTAGTTCATGCAAGATTAATGTAATTGTAACTGTAATATCAGCAAAGATGTAGGTAGGAAAATTACCCAAGCAATGCAAGCTTAATGTGACAAATGGTCAGAATCGATTGTTTGTTTTTAATCGTATATTGGTTGAAGAATAAGTACTATACTTCCTTTAGCAAAGTGACCTCTTGTTTTTTATCAAAATTACTGTCGTATTTTTGCGACGTAAGAGAAAATTTTACAACAACGAAAAGAAAATAGCAAATGCCACTTTTGTTTCATGTCATCGACAAGAATAAACTTGCAAAGCAGAAATTATCAACACGTCGTAGCTATAAAATATAGCTTCATATTACCCCTTTGTAGGTAAACGTATCTGATGATAACAACGCAACGTTTCTCCGTCCATACTGACAGGCAACTAGATAAGCAGATTTCCAACGAATTAGTTTACTTTAGGTAACTTACAGGATGTTTGTTAACAAATGGGCCACACAACGACAGTAGCTTACTTGGATAAAAATAGCAATTTACAAACAGAGAGATTCATTTTTCTACTCAGGTTCGATAAAAATTTTCTCACAGTTGAGAAAATGAGAGAGACGAAAATGTGATGAGAATTATGTTTATTAAAACACTAAACTAAATAAAATCTTCAAAATTATTTTTCCAAATTCATTAAAAATGTTTTTATATCTCATCTGATTGAAAAGATATAAAATGATGTGTATAGTCAAAACGACTGGTCCAATCAAGTCTTTTTCAGTATTTCCGAGGAAAAGATATTTTCAATGTTTATATTCGTTATTGGTATAAATTATTTGTCTCTGCTAATTTCGAATTTTATCGAAAACAGTCTCTACTTTTCATTAAATATTCACTTTAAAAAACTTGTTTTCCTTTGCAATCAAATCAGTAACAGACTTGATCGAACCAGTGATTTCTCTATACATGTCGTCTCATATCTTTTGAAAGGGTAGAAATATCGAAAAGCATTCTTAATAAAAGTTATTGAGAAGAAGCTGGACTTAGATGATGTAAAAGGACATTTATAAAATTGGAAAAAAACTATTTTAAGCACAATTAATATTTTCGATATCTTTGGAAAACATTGTATGCATTAATTACAAAAACTTGTTCCTTTACGTTAATCCAATAAAATTATTATTAACTGGTTGTTAAAATCATACATTAAAATTCATCCTATTGTCAATCTGCCTGACCTATATATTTGCTCAACAAGTCCAAATAAAAAAATATGTGATAATCCATAGTAGTACTTATAAACATATACTTCATTGTCGTGATATCGTTATTGAATTCGATTGACAAATTATGAGCAGACGTTAGCAAATTGGATAGATTTATGTAGCAAGAAACAATAATATAAGTCTGACTATGTACAAATACTTTTATTATTTCCACATAATTTTGTCACATTCCAACAAGAAATATTGAAAATGGGCCAATTTTTATTACAATGTCATTTACAGAGAATAAATGTTAAGACATGTTCAGAAAAAGTTTATTTAATGTATAGACTAGGGCGGATCTGTTTTGAGGTGGATATGAGAGGGGGCAAGCAAATTTTGTCTGGATTACCTTCAGTGCAACTCGCATAATAAACGTGTAGATCCCTAGATCTGGGCGAGGTCCTGAACATTTTCCAAATTGCAAAAATGTTTAAAAAATTTAAGAAAATACCTATTTTATCTGAGTAGGAAAAAAGTTTTAGAATTGAATTTTGCACAAAATACTGTAAGTTAAAAATGTTTAAATTTGTTACCGATGTTGCAAAATAACAACAATAGATGAAAAAAGGCAAAAGTTTCTTGGATAACTTTTTTAAAATATTTTAATTGCTCCGAGGGCATTTGGTAAAAAAAACTCTAGAATATAATAAAACAACACACCAAAATTCATAAAAATCGGTTCGGCAGTTTTCTCAAAATTTTTTGAAAACAAATTTTCGAATTTTCAAAATGTTGCACAGCCTCAAATAAAGCATCTAGATACTTGAAAATTTTTTCACATAGAAACGACCGCAACATTTTGAAAATTCGAAAATTTTTTTCACAACTTTTTTCAAAAAATTATTTTACGAAAACTATAGAATCGATTTTAATGAAATTTGGTGTGTCGTTTTATTATACTCTAAAGTTTTTTTCACTAAAATTTGAATGCCCTCGGAGCAATTAAAATATTTTTTTAAAATTATCCGAAATACTTGATCATATTGCCTTTTTTTCATCAATTTCTATTTTCTATTTTGCAACATCGGTAATAAATTTTAACATTTTTAACTTACGGTATATTGTGCAAAATTAAATTCTAAAACTTTTTTCCTTATAGAAGCTTAAAGATATTAAATAATATTAATGGAATATTTACATATTATTTATTTTTAAACAAGAATATGTACTAGCGATTGAATAAAATATTGTGGCAGGATGTAATAGTACTTTAAAATTAAAATGACCTGTCAGAAACTACCACGAAGTAATTTTGATAGAAAACACGGGTTTTTAAGTAAAAATTGTACATTTTTTATTGATTCATAAAGTATACAGGACAGGGTTAGTATGTTAGGGTTAGCATATCGGGTAAATGGCCTTCACGGCTTTGCTGATCTCGAGCTATTTGGCATGTGGCACCAGTTTGTTATTTAGGCACAAAAATCTGGTTTATCATCTCGCGATAGCGAGCACCATTGGACTCTCAGCAACACTCTCACCAACTGCTTCGATGTTTTCTGCTGAACGACTTGTTGAATCACTAACTGATGCAGAACATTATTTTTAATAAACCTGAAGCTGTCTTTTTTTTTGTTGGCGACACTTTACTGCGCAAACGGAGTAAAATTCAAATCTTGCCTGAATTTTGGTACACCCGATATAAATTACTTTTGCAAAAAATACTATAACCACGCCAAACAATTGTAGAATTTGTCCCTAAACAATGTCTATATCTTATACTACCTCAACTACCTACGATTCTAAACTGAATAAACTAATTAAAATTAAGCTCATTTTCATCAATATTTAGCTCCTAAAGGTCAGAAATTACCCAGTGTACCATTTCCACGTACCATTTCCACAATTATGGAAATAAGTCCATTATGAAATAGAAAAAAACCCAGATCTACAAAGATTAACTGGAACTCGAATGTCAGAAAACAGTTGTTTGTTAATTACTTTCTTAGAAAACTCATTTGTTTAATAACATGATTTTACCAACATTTCCCCTTACATGTTGATTTCGTGAATAATTTTAAATAAATAATTGATCAAAAGACAGTGTTTTAAATTGCAAGCGATAACATTATTATCTCGGAAACTGTGAGAGATAAAGAAGGTTAAATAGGGCCAAATTTATATTTATATTTTTTTGACGATTATACTAAGATGAATATGCACAAGTTTTGAAAAAAAAACACGATATCCTTCATAAAATCTAAAAACCTATAGGTATATAAATAATAGATATCGCTACTCATCATCTGGGAAACTTTAAAAACTAAATTATTGTTTTTTTTTTTTATTATTTTGACTTCTCTCTTTGTAAATTTGTAAAATTATTGTGATTAACAACCACATTTCTGCGACATTGTCATTTAATTGTTTGGCTTGTTAATATTGAAGGTAAAATCGTGTCTAGCTACAAAAACAATATTGTTATAAATTTGTAAAAATCAATCAAACAACATATACTAGATGATAAAAAAAATGTTAAAAAATAAAAAACATGGACAAGATTTATAAGAGCACGTAAATAGGTACAAGGAAAACTGAGTACTTCACAAAATACATGTTTTATAGTTAAAATATTGTTAAATTAAAGTATTAACTTTGAATTATTACTTTTTTAAGTTTAAAATTAGCTTACTACATACATAGTTGGAAAAACCGAGAATAAGTCCAAAATTATTAATTTCACTTTAAAAATATATTGCAGGTTTCTTCGAAATACAATTTCAAATCACCAAAACTCAAAAAATATATTGGCATATAGTTCTCCAAAAAAAAACTCCCATATTTTTTCGAGTGATGATGATTATATGGTTGGTATGTATAATTGTATTTTAAATACTATTTTTTCAGTGGCTTCGAAATTATGGGGTTTTTACTGACAGTAATCGCCTAGTATCATTGCCACTGATTGACATTTTTGTAATATTATTTTTACTGAAATTTCCAATGAATTTTTACTATTATTTAGCTTCGGTCATCTTCTTCAAAGAAAAATTTAACGCGTTGTATCTCGAAAAACAGTGGCTTTAGATTATAACCTTGACATAATACCCTGTTAAATTACCCACAATTCGTTTATTTTTAAAGATTTGAACAACTGGGATTTTTATCATAAAGCACAATCATTTTAAAGCGTGACATTTTCTATAATTACGAGCTTCTCAAGTGAAAATATATTTAGTTTTCAAATATAGTATTCGAATAGAGACATAATTTTAATGGAGTTATCTATTCTCTTAAGCAGCATTCGGGTATGTACTTCTTATAAATATATATTATTTTCTTTATATACCTACGTCAAGGAAACTAAATGATGTTAGTATAGATTGTTCCTCTTTCAACAACAGTATCTTGTGCAACTTTGACACTGACTTAACCTCGACCTTCTTAAAGGAGATGTACCTACATGTAGATGTGTATAAAATTACGATTAACATTTTCAAAATAAGATATTCATTTCAAGTATCTACCAAATTGTAGTATCTACCTAATAAGTCCTATTGCACCAATTTATTAACTGTAAAATAAAGATCGAACGCAGCAAAATCAGTTTTCGAAAATTGCGCATTATTATTGCAAAAAGCTATGGATATTGACAAAATTTATAGAAAAGACGATCAATCCAAACGCCGATTCGATTGACCGTAAAATTGTTGCCCCATGCATTTGTTAATTAATTTCGTTCGTTTTTGCAACTTATTGTTTAATTACTAAACGTTAATTTTAGAAGTTAATATCGTAGATATAGATTCTACGTAACGAAAAAGAATTTCAAAAAGTTGAAATTAAGTTGCTCTTTACAACTAACAAAGTAGGATGTGCAAAACGGCATTATAAATAAATTGTCTCAGGGTCAGGCAAAAGCTGCTCGGGAATTCGCTCTTTTTGCATTAAATAAAGGTAGAACGAATCTAATTTACTTAGGGAAGTTATGTCAATGTCTTGGAACTAAATTTCTACATAAAATTAGGCTGTTTTCTTGTTAAATAAAACAACCTGATCTAACTTGTCATTGTAATAGACCAACTTACATAAAGTTAGGTTAATTTTTTTATAGGTTAGGTCAGGTTAAGTTTTTTTGAATAACCGAACTTGTAATATATTAAAGTCAGTACTTTCTTTATTTTTCTAATGTAATTCGTTTTGTTAACAAAATAGATATTACAATACAATATTTTCCATTGGCAAGACACAAATACTAGTCTTTTCAAATTATGCCAAAGCATACACATCTTTTAACGTCGACACACAAAGCATATTTCCAAATTATTTCAAATTGTTTGCACTAAAAAAATGTAGATGCCATCCCCTGACTTACAGTTATCTGTAACTGTCACTCGCCTGTCAATACCGACGTTGACATATTGTAAAAGTCTAACCTTGTGAAGGGAAATACAATTTGCTGTCTTTGTATTGGTAGTGAATGAATTTAAACAAAATGGCGAGAAACCAATTTGATTTTTTTTGCAAAAATTAGGTAAGGAACATTTTAATTCTGTTAACCAAGTTCTGTTTGGAAAAAATCAATTAATTTGTGTTATTGAAACCCTCAAGCTTGTACTTAATAGGTTTTAAACCCTTTCAGTACCATTAAAACAATATATTACCTGTTATTAAGTGTGTTAATAATAGTTGTGCTAATTAATTTAAAGCACGCGTGAAATAGAAGGATTCATATATTTGATTCCGTTTCAGAATTCCCTCCAAAGCTACGCAGCCCGGGACCAATAGCGACAGAGCAGGGATCACGTGGCCGACCCGAGGTTATAAAAACGCTCGTCTCCTTCTACCTAGTTCTCTTTTCCACAGTAACTAAAGACGTACAAGTTTAGTGTTAGTGCTTTCAAACAAGGTTCAGAATGCCAGAAACAACACTGACCAACGGCTACACGAACGGTCACATCGGATACGAAATGGAGGAAGACTCCGAGTTCCTTTTCACGTCGGAATCCGTAGGAGAGGGACACCCAGGTTTGTTATTGATCCCTTATTTTTGTTTATAATTAGAAAATGGCGGTGTTTGGGTCTCCGGCATCGGCATGGTCCACAATGCGCATATCTTTCCATCCCGAACGATTTATTTTTGGCGCAAATGCAATGTGGCGCTGCCTAAATACAGTGGGGTCCTATTTCCATCCGATACGTTGTCCCGATGGGGGCGGCTTTAGTTAAAAAAACGGCGATAATTATGAAATAAAGATCCGCCTCGCGTGGCGAACACGTGGTTACAAATGCTCTGTACTTTCGAGTGGCAAAAATGTCTAGTGTCTAGAATAGCGTTTGTATCCCAGAATTGTCCAGTTTTTCTTGTTAATGTCGCAAATTTCTTTTCTAATATTTATGGCGCAATATTACTAGGCATTGCGATAATTTGGGTTATAGTTTCGTCAGTACCTTCTGCTTGGAAAAGCAGATAAGGCGCATTTTTTCGTGGTATATTCTTAATCTGGTTAAAACGTGATTTCATTAAAAATGGATGGTGCGCTTGCATTGTGATATTAGTTTCTTAATTGTAATTTAGAATTGTATTTTGGAGAAAATGTATGTTTTCATGATAAGTACGGAATATGTTCGATTTTTGAGGTTAGATTTGACGCGAAATAAATCTATGTTTTATTATTCAGGTCAGAGAGACAGGAGAGTTTTACATTTTTGGGGAATACTATAATTATCTTTTCTTTATCTCTCATTTCTCTCATTTTTCGATACATCTGAGCTAAACTGTTGAAACATGTTTCGTTTTTAAGGATTTCGACTTTTAGAACCGGTATACTTACGTACAAGAGCTACCTCAACGGTTTTTGTGAGATTAGGTAGGTTTTCTTAAGAAATATATTAAAAAAAAAACCGCTGAACCTATGCTCTAGTTAATTGTTAAATTAATCTGTATCAGGGTGTTATCTCAAAGTCAAGGTCTGTCTGTGATTCTCGTGTCCAAGCCAAATACAAATTGAAGGTTAAAAGGAATATTCTGTAGGTTTTTTTTCTCTTAACACAAGGTTTCTAGTCGAAAGAAAGTAAGTAAGTAAATACTGGTTCAAGTCGCCTGAAAAGTTTTTATCTTTTCGTTAAATTATTCGTTAGGTCCTTGAAATTGTTATTTACTACACGGTTTGTTTGGGTGATGTCGTAATAAAAAACTTTTAATTTCGTTCATAACTACATTTATTGTCATACTGCACATATTTCAAAAATACAGGTATTATCCAACTGAATAATAATCAATATCGGAAACGAGAAAGACCGGTCAAAATAAGTTGGAATTAGCATTCGTTCCCTTAACCCATATTTCTACACAATCATGGGAAAATGTTAAAAAAATTAAAATTCTACTGAAGGGCTTGATGTATCTAAAATAACTTTTATCTTTAGTTTTTCGAAATTTTACTTTTTTGAGAGAAAAATGTAAAAATTAAGTCAATTAACATAATTCATTGCAAACTATGAGTGTTTCAAACTGAGATCATATTAAAATCTGAGAAAGTATTTGTGTCCTATTTTATAATTATTGTATTTTAACTTTTACTTTTCAAAACAATTTCTCTCACCACATTTTTTTATTTACAGTTCTTTTCACTAGCCCCTTCTAATACCGCTAGGAAAACCAATAACTTTAACCGTACCAAATTATTTATTCAGGGACTGGCAGGTAAAATATTTAGAAGAAGGAATTTGAGATGATTTGATTACCTGGAAGTCTAGCAAGTAATACCTGCACAAACATATTTCAAAGAATAAGAACTGTTTAATCATATTCATCTTTTTATCTGATTAACAACCTGCCCAAACATATTTCCATCATCGGCAAAGATGCAGAGAGCATAATTAACATATCTGTGAAGAATCTGATTTATGATTAAATTTTTAATAAATGTTTCTACTTATAAAAAAACTGGTTGCAAGATGGTTAATACAAGTTCTACCTGGTTTAGAATAGCTGTCCTTTCGTAAAATGAAATGTCCCGTGGTAAAAGAAGCTGGATAGCATTAAAATTAAACCAGTCCCTTTTTCTGTTACATATTATTGAATTCTACACACACTGTTAACATTCTGAAGGAAATTTTTGCATGGGTAGTAAAATCATACAAACAGTAATTATGAAGATATCACAGTATTTCACGTGTTGTGGACAAAGAGGAGAACGATAGACACGGATAGACGTGTCGGACTGAGCTGTCAAATAATTATTGCTACCACGTCGTCGTGACTTTTTGGAATTTTGCGGATGCGATTAAAACTTGCGGGAAAGCGTAACCGATTAAAATGTCTGGATTCCCCCCAAGGCCGTGGTTGAGAAATCCAGCGCGGTTTATCTGCCAACTACCTGTACCTGTGTCAGATGGGATGCACATTTTGCGTCGTGACACATGCGCTCGGCGATAGTTATATCAGACCTCTTACGTTTGCGATATAAATACAATACCATTAAAAATTCTCCTTTGTTGTAGTGCGTAGCAGCGAACGTCGATTTTTTTAATCAGCTTATTGGTTAGAACAGCGTTTCTTAATCCTTTATTACTTCGCATCAATTTTGAAGACGCATTTTTACATGGTTCAAAAAATTTCATTGTCAGCCATAAAAAGAAGTCTTATAGGCATTGGTTCATGTCGCACATAATCACCAAAATCATGGTTAAAGTATGTAGTAAAACTATGATATAAACGAAGTCTGGGGCAGTTTCCCATGTACAAATATAATCATACAACTACTATTGCTACTGCTTTTCTGATTAGCAAACTGAAATGAATATGAAGACAGATTTCACTGGAATCCTGAAATACGCACGTCAAAAATAGATAATAGAATAAGATGGAGGTAACCTAATTGGGCTCCGTCTCCCACACCACTACGCATCCTACCCACAAGACTCCAATTTGGTTACCTTGTATTTTATTATTTGGGGCTTCAATCTGATTTAATTAACAAATCTACATTTAGATATTTAATATAATCTCGAGTTATTCTGGGTCTTATTGGGGTTGCTACAAAAAACAGGCAGGTACAATGATTTAAAGATCAAACTGAAATTACAATCAATCAACAAAATCAGAGCCTACTAGCACTTTGTTAAGTATTTCAATATGGGTGTCAAGATAATGTGTAATTTTAAAAATATTTTTTGTACTCAAACTGCTCATTTAATCAAAATTCTACAGGAGGGCCAAGAACTTCCAAATGGTATCACCTATCAAATAAAAAATAGTTGTCATTATTGCCCGAAAGAGGAAAATGTTATGATGCATGCATGCATCAATTTTGTAGGAGTTGTAAGTTTTAAAAAACACTCTGTATAACACCAAAACGTGTAGATTGAAAGCAAAAGTCCACACTCCAAAAATAATCATAATCGAATAATACTTAAAATTCAAAAAATTTTCACGAAATTTGAGGCCATCTAGCGGTCAAACGAAGTGATTTGGGATATAAGTAAATCAGTCTAAATCTGACCATTTTGAGTCCACGAATTTGTGGTCTTCCGTTGTACACGTTATTCTGGGACACCCTGTATATTTAAATATGACCAGATGAATTTGGTCAGTGAACATTTGTTTGAAAGCAGCAGTTGCTAAATTGTGAGACTCAAAGTGTTTTTGAGTAAATTCCTACAAATTTCAGTCTGCTACTCTAGTAAAATTATTTTCTTTCGCATTATCTTTATACGGTTAATTCTCCTCTCCAGTCCATCTTAGATATTCACATAAATTATAGTCTTCAAAGAAGGCAGGTACTAACTGGTCAAATATTCTGATAATTTGAACTCAAACTAATCTCTAAATGCGGTAAAAGAATGTAAGGAATTTTCACAATTAAATAATAGATAGGTGTTTGGTTATAAAAATTACCGGCAACATTTTTCAGGGTTTACGAAACGTTAAATTCTGGACTTGAACATTGAGAGTTAGAATAAACATTTATTCGGTATCTTTTTACGCAATAAAGGAACGTCAGCATGCGTCAGTCATACGTAAAATGGAATTTACATCGTACACTTTTAATCCAATAAATTGTTGAAGATTCATACTTGTGGCATATTTGGCCAATTTGTTGCTCAAGTTTAAGACCAACTCTCAATAAAAATCGAACCAGACAGTAAACCACAAACTGGTTAAAATGTCAAAGTAAAGTGAGTGCAATTACAAAATTTTAATATATTAATATTTAAAACTCGATTTAGAATAAAAAGAAGTATGAGAATATAACTAAAATTGGTACTATTAAAACACATTTTGTCACTAAAAATCTACAAATAAATTAGAACCTGTTCAAATGTCTATAATTTCTTGACCAAGGCGAAGGTAGCGTTGATACCTATATCTAATGCAATGTAGGAAATTTATCACAGTGTATGTATTCCATACATATATCAATTTCAATGTATATATCAAAAATTAATTAATTAAATAAAATCTTGAAAAGTTAGTTTTTTTATGCTTCGGGTATTATGTAAACTAGCTACGTGAAAACCAAATTTAGCAAATCTTAACCTACCTCAACACAATCTTGTTTGGCCAGACGGTTATGAAATTTGCAGATGTAAGCCTATCCCGACCTGCTAAATTACAAGGTAACGAACCTGAACAAATAAAGAGAAAGTTTTGTCTGCCAAAGCTGGTACGTCATCCATTTCTTTTAAATCTAAACACAGTGGTGATAGAGATTTTTAAAAATTTTATTGTAATCTTGAATTCGTTGATAATTTGAGTTTAATTAAACATCCGGATAATCTAAACGATTTGGATCTAGTAAAATATGCAAACAGCCAAACCAGTCAATAGTACTTTATACAGAATGTAATAAAATCCTTGGGCAAATATTAATGGCAGGTTTCTGCGACAAGAACTAACAAAAAATTTTATATTTTTTGGAACTTGCGTCTTTGTCGAGAAAAGCCAGGTAATTATTTTTATTTAATTCGCAGATAACCTGATTACTTACTTGAATACCAGCGAGTCAAATTTAAAATAACTTAAAAAAAATTGTGTAAAATAAAAACATGCACATATAGATTCAAGTAGATCCAATAATAGACCGAACGTATCGAAAACTCATATTAGGCATATTAATTTTTCCTTTTTAGGTTGCCTTGACATTTGATGTTGCCGGTGCATGTCGCCGAGATAAACTGTATCAGTTAGATTTGAATATTATAGATGATTTAGGATCAAAGCTTTTGATTAAAATACCGGATAATAAAACGAAAAAACCGAGATCATTTGTGACAAACGAAACTTATATCCCACTGTATACAAAATATTGTTGCATGCCGCTCAGAAAATTTTGAAAGTTGCCGCTTTTTCTTCAAATATTCAAATGAGAAAGGTTACATACTTCTAAATAATTAAAGTTATCTGAATAAGCTGAAAATTAACATGATTTGCGAATTCTTTTTTTTTTTTTCACTTTTTCTGTCCGACTGTAACCAATTAATTTTAGAAAATTGTAAATATGTTTTGTAAATATTAAGGTGTATTGGTCACTACGTCTGAAAATACTATTCGAAAGTTATTTACAGAAAATACTACATGTATTTTCGCAATTTGAAATACCATTCTTTGCTACAAAATATATTTTCGTGTTTAAGTTACTACACTTACTATTCTAAAAATTCTACTCGCAAAACTCACGCCAGTTACATTTTGGTTTAGTTTTGATCTAAGTACCTATTTATAGAAGCCTGACAAACGCCAGTAAGTATTGTATTTCCTAGCGACCTGGCGGCGGCGCGATTTTACCAGACTTTCCGGAAATAACGTTTGATAACACTTCCAACGCACCTACCTACCATTCATAAACGTGATCTTGAAATGAATTTGGCTCGATAAGTCACGATTAAAACGTTAAAGTGCTTGGTACTGTTTCGCCCACTCCATTTACACTACGGTTAAAAATACTCTGGTAACTAGATCTGATAAGTAGAGCGTGCTGTTTTTTTTTTATAAATACCGACTCATTCTTGAAACTCGTACTACGTATTCTTCATTGTAAATACAATACCTTTAATAAAATAATGCAATATTTATTTAGTAGTCCTGCATCATTGATTACTGAGAATAAAGGGTTGTAAAAGTATTTATTTTTACTTTAAAATTGGTATTTTGTGTCCTTCACAATAGCTATCTACTTACGAGGCGTGTTCAAAAAATAACCGAACTTCATCATTAATTTTATACATTATAGGTCCTTGTCTCCATAGACCAGGCAATAAAGAGAAAAATATCTAGATTTTCGCGGCCCGGTCCGATTTTAATGCGGTTTTTTGCATTTTGTTCAGAAAGGCCGTCGGAAAAAAGTCCCGCCATTTTTATTATCCGGAAGTGGCGGAAATGCATCGGTGCATCGCATCCGAGAAACTTGCCAAAGTGCACGAAATACCGCAAAAATTGGTACTCGGGGGTTTTGGGGGGCGCAGAATTCGAAAATGCATATATCCAGTCCACCCGACCGGGCCGCGAAAATCTATAGATATTTTGGAGTAAATCGTTCTTTATTGCCCGGTCTACCATCAAAGCACTCCGCTCCCCTCAGTACACACGTTTCCCACCACATTTTTTCACGTAAATCGCCTTGATAGTATTAACTTTTGTCTCAATATCGTAGCTGTAAACTCAGTTTTTATCTACCGTTATGATGAAACTAAATAAGATATTAACAGTCCACGAACATGTGGTTCCAAAGGAGGTTATGCGCAACGCAGTGCTGCCAACCGTATATCACTAAATATCTCAATTAGAGCGTAATTCAAAAAGTTCGGTTATTTTCTGAATAGACGTCGTATAAAAACTTGAACAAAAACTTGGCGAAATTATTTAACATTCCTCTAATTTTTTTTCATACAATGCATGCATCCCACGAATAGCTCTTTAATTGTTGAGAAATTGAAGCAAAACAAATAATAATATAATAATAATAATAATTTATTTACCATTACCATACTTACGATGTATGTGTATAAATATAATTTACAAGCAAATAAATAATTTCCACTTAAGCCGAACCTTGAGCGTAGGCGAACAACTAAGATTTTAGTACAAAATACACAAATAGTAATTTGACATTTATATCAAATACCCAAATACGCAATTAAGTAAACAACAAAACATGTTTACTTTCCTTTTCCGGAAAAAAGAAACAAATAAATGAGGACAATATTTTTAAGTATGATTTTAAAATTTATTGCGTTATTTAATAAATTTGAGATATCTTGCTTAGTCTTTTCGCTCAAGAATATTTTTAAACGCTTTTTGAAAGATGTATATGATTTACAAGATTTAATATCTTCTGGCAATAAATTATATACATTTTAGGTCCGAGGTAATAACTAGGATTTTGTAAATTTTGTAGTTCTAGATTTAGGAACTTGAAATGAAGTTTCACGATGTCTGGTCCATTCTATAGGTTTTAATTCTTCTCTATGTTTATACTGTCTGGTTAATATTTTGAAGCAAAACAGTTCGTTTAGATCAAAAAATTTTGATGCATCAAACAAGCTATCACTATTGTACAAATAATGCTTTTTCAAAATATTTTAATTAAATGTTTTTAAATTGCCTTTTCTCTGTGAATCTTTACCTATTTAAGCCGGGTAGCCAAATATTTTAAGGAAAAAATACCTGCTTCGAACAAGTACAAAAAAATATTTTATACTTTTTTTTATTTCAGACAAAATGTGCGACCAAATCAGTGACGCCATATTAGATGCTCATTTAGAACAGGATCCCAACGCCAAAGTGGCTTGCGGTAAGTACTACTAGTACTAATACCAAATTCCTACTATCAATAGTAAGAAAATAAAAATTAGATCCATCTTGTCTTCTCAGATGATATTAAACACTTCAACACTTCTACACTTCATTTTCTCTTTCATTTAAACGTAAAAGGTAAGATTAACCTAACCTCACAAATTCAGATTGGTTGTTTTTGGTCGATGTAAATTAAAAGACTTAAAGAATACCCAATTTTTTAAAAGATGTTGATTTGTTGATGCCCCTGTTACTTGCTTTTTCTTCCGCATATTTATGGTGTATTTAAATGACATACCTAAAAAAAACGTAAGATCCAAGTTAAGAGTTCAAAAACAAGGAACTTTTAGAGGACTTTTAAATCCTATCAAAACTTTTGTAGCTATTTCTTTATTATTTTTCAATAATATTCTTGTACATTTACTTTTTGACTTAGTTGGCAGCTCTATAATTTTGCTACCAGGCGCAAAACCCATTTCGTGTGCCAAGACACCTACATACAATGTCGGTCAGTCAGTCATCAGCTGCTACATATACAGTGTGTCCCGTTTTTCATGTTAACAACTCTGTAAATGTGAGAAGGCTGTGAACTTTCCGCAAATCAATTTTTTTACAAATAGTACCCTAAAAAGAGGTTATATTTTACTAATCATTTTATTGATGTGATAATTTATTACATTTTTTGTAAGTTATTATTTTTATAATTAATTAATAATAAATTAATATAAATAAAAGTATTAAATTTATAGCGTCTGTATTTTTTCTTTGTCCGATTGGTACTTGTTTTCACTTTCATGGCAATCGTTGACCTGCTTATTATCATTTTTAGTTGTTTGTTTTTTCGAAGTTTGGCACCACATAAAAAAACACTCAATAGACATTTGTCGTTCAAATTTGGTATATGGGTATTTTGACTTTGACTTTCTGGAAAAACGACCCTTTTAAAAAATCGTAATAGGCCAGGCTTCTATTACATCAATAAAATGATTAGTAGAATATAACCTCCCTTCAAGGTACTATTTGTAAAAAAATTAGCTTGCGGAAAGTCCGCAGCCTTCTCACATTTCCAAAGGTGTCGACCTGAAAAACGGGACACAGTGTATATAAATTATGTTATTAATCATTTTTTATAATTAAAACAAATTTATATTGATCAATCAGAACCAATAAGATGTTAGTTAATTAAAAAGAGCACATTTCAAATTACTCCGAAGCAATAAAATGTTTCATATACTCGTATTTTATACACATTTACTTACATTTGTAAATTCCTATTTAAATTTTATCATTTTATCGTTTATGTTTTTTGTTACAGAAACTGTAACAAAAACGGGAATGATTTTACTGTGCGGAGAAATCACATCAAAGGCAGTTGTAGACTACCAGAAAGTTGTCAGAGAAACAGTTAAACATATTGGTTACGATGATTCTTCTAAAGGTGAGTTTGTAAAATATAACCTATGTTTGTTCCTTAGTAGTCACAAGCTTCTGCCGTTTAGCAGTATGTGGCTTTACTAGAGCTATGTATTTATGTACTTATACTATTTTTTAATCTCACATGCACAATAAGTAGCTAATGTATTCCCCTAATTTTACCACCTGCACAACCTTCTGCTAAAAGTACATGTTGAGCAAACTAAACAAGTGTTTTTAAATGGTAGCAGGTAAAAATTATGTAACCAAAGTTTACTGCCTACATACAGGGTGATTCACTTAAGGAAGCCCGTCGTGAAATCTCTGAAACTGTTGCAAAGTTTTGCAGTGATGTACTTATATGTTCTTTCATAGATCGCTAAATTGGAGGAAATTTAATAAAAATTACATTTTTATCTCTTTTTGAATAGCTTTGTTTCTTATAAATATTAGAAGCTTTAAATTTTGAAGTGTTAACATAAATCAACGTTTTGCATCAATTGGTGATATTAGATTTTTTTATAAACCTACATTTTAAATTAAGAATAGTCGCTTTCCTTTTTTTTATGTTTACACAAAAATATAATATATTTATATAAAAATAAATGGGACACTTTATACAAGGTGTCCCATTTTAATGTACCAGCCCGCAGATTTTTTTTAATTCGACTTTTATAAAAAAATATTTCGATAAAAAGTTATCGGGTTTCGATGGGGTCAAATTATGCTGACCTTGGAGTTAATTATCAAGGTCATTTCGAGGTCAACCTTGATTTTTTTTAATGGAACCCCGTGTTGACCTTGAAATTACCATGATCACTAACTTTAAGGTCACCATAATTTGACCCCCCCTCGAAACCCGATAACTTTTTATCGAACTATTTTTTATAATAGTCGAATTAAAAAAATTATGCGGGCTGGTACATTAAAATGGGACACCTTGTACAAATAATACCTAAAAATCTTAAATTTCTAATATTTATAGAGACTCAGATATTTAAAATATATATATTTAGGCCAGGAAAATAAGCTGGGAAATGAGCATTTTGCGACTTTTTGTTTCGGCAAGCTGAATTTATCACTGTAGATGCTAAATATTACGTACAATAACATTTTAATTTCCTTAATTTCCGCAACATAAAAATGGGGGGAACATTGTTTACAGGGTGGTTAATTGTATAATTTTTACGTAAATCCACGTTTTTCGCTTATAACTTTTTTCCGTTCATTTCCACAAGAAAACAGTAAAATACTTTTTTTCGTCTTCAAAAGACCTACAAAACTAGCCCTCGAGCGTAAAAAAATATTGATTAGATCAAACGTTATAAACAGAAGAAATGTATTTATGTCCTTTGAATTAAACATTTATAAGCTGCGTTATTATTACCAGAACGTTTTGGCATCGCGTCCTCTCATTCCTTATCACTGTCTAATAACTCACCCGAAATCTGGAATCGGTAAGTTGAATAGTTTGCAAGTTATGGCCTTAAAAACAAATTAACTAACATGGTAGATTTCATAATACATTGAAATCTATAATTTTTTTTTCAATTTCAAATTATAACCTGTTTTTTTTTTATTTTTTAGCCTTAGCTGCAAAATGTAGTTATATATTATTACATATTCGGAAAGCTTATGGAAAGAGCTTTCAGTTAAAAAAAAATTGTCAAGTCAAGATTCGTTGAAAAAGTCAGTGGGTCGCTTGATTTTCGGCGAGCCGTGGCGCGGCGGAAGGGTGAAGGAAGCGAACGACAGCGAGTCCGAAGAAAATGACCATAATATTCATAGTCCTGCCGATAAATAAGCGAAATTCGCTTGAACATAATATATTTGACAGTCTGTAACTCCGTTGTTTTTCAACGAATCTTGACGATTTTTTTTAACTTAAAGCTCTTTTCATAAGCTTTCCGAATATGTAATAATATAAAACTATATCAGGCTCGTGCGTTGTATATTTCATTTTGCAACTAAGGCTAAAAAATAAAAAATAATAATTCCAGGTTGCAAAGAAATTTAAAAAAATGATAGATTTCAATATATTATTATGAAATCTACCATGAAAAAAATCAATGCGATTGTGGAAGATCCTCGGGATCCTCCAGACTAATAATTAGTTAATTTGTTTATAAGGCCATAACTTGTAAACTATTCCACTTACCGATTCCAGATTCCGTGTGAGTTATTACTTTATTAGACAGTGATAAGGAATGAGAGGATGCGATGCCAAAACGTTCTGGTAATAATAACTCGGTTTATAAATGTTTAATTCAAAAGTCATAAATAAACTTATTCTGTTTATAACTTTTGATCTAATCAATATTTTTTGACGCTCGAGGGCTAGTTTTGTAGGTCGCTTGAAGACGAAAAAAAAAGTACTTTACTGTTTTCTCGTGGAAATGAACGGAAAAAAGTGAATTTACGCAAAAAATATACAATTAACCAACCTGTAAACAATCTTCCCCCTTTTTTATGACTGTGTGAACTAATATGTTATTGTACATAATATTTAACATCTATAGTGATAAATTCAGCTTGCCGAAACAAAAAGTCGCATCCAACTCTATATTTCCTGGCCTATATTATCTAGTGATTTATAAAAATTACAAGAAAATTAAAGATATCATTCAAGAACACCTTTTTTTAATCACCCTGTATAAATATATCAGGTTAGTCAAAACAACTTATTTCGCGTTAGTATTAGCGACATCTTGATGAAAATAGACGACAAATGGGCTAATTTCAGAAGCAAATAATTTTTCTTACATACATTGTTGGAAATTTATTTATTTTTGCTTATTTTAGGTTCAACATTACCATAATTTTTTATTAATTTATAAACTATGTAACTTTAATCAAATCAAAAATCAGAAACTATATAAAATTACTTAAATCCGTACTTAATTACTGGTTATTTTTTTCTAAAAAAACTTTTTTTATAACACATTTAAGTTTCTGAAGTGGTAGAGAAAAACATTTGCTTATGGAAATAGTATATTTCTTCCCTATTTTACTCTTGACCTTGCTAATAGTAATTTGAAGCAAGCTATATAACTTCCCTTGTATATTCACTTTTATAATTCCAAAATTACCAAACCACATGATAACACATGTTCCACATCATTATCTTCTCCATTCTAAGACAACTTTAATAAATTTTGTTATTTCGGTTAATTTATTTTGTTTAGAGAGTTTGTGAATCTAAACATTTTATAATACATATTTTATCATGTACATTTTGCTATTTTGCTTCCTTCTTATGTTTGAAGACAGCGATTTGTGTGTATATACACAGCATTATAGAAGTAACAACAGCAACTTTCGATTAATAGAAACGTAACCCAGATTTTGCCAAAAAAATTTACCAAACAAAATTTTCATTGATAAAAAATAGGATTCGACTGGCGCACATTCAACCTTCTGGTGGCCCTCGAACAACAGAGTCCGAATATCGCCAACGGTGTACACGAAAATAGAGAAGAACCAGATATAGGGGCAGGGGATCAGGTATAAAGTTTTCGAAAATATTAGGGGGGAAGTCACTCAAACATTAGTTTCGTTCCTAGTGCATCAGAAACGGTTCCCAACAATGAGACGCGATAGCACTTGGTTGGAGACAATGAATTTTGAACCCTTATGTTGGAATGCGCGTGCGTCCGACTGCTGGAAACTGTTTTGGACTGCTCTAGGAACAAATTTATTACCGCTTTCCGATACTTTACCGCATGGACGCTTTTTGCTTGCTTGATATGCTTAGGTAGCCCAAAGTGCTTAGTTTGTTGTATTTTGCACGTATAGTACATATTTTTTAGGTTAATATACAAAGCAAAGTAACTAAGCTTAGAACTGTTTTAAGTACTGTAACAAGTAGTTTTATCTTTGGAAACACGCAAAAATGAAAACACTGTGTATATAATAGCGTGTAATTCTGAATTCTTTCGATTGCCAGGGTTTCCAAGAATAAAACTAAATCACACCTAGAATTTAATAGATATAATTCTTTTAATTTGAATTGGCAAAATTTTTTAAAGCCTGTATGACTGAATACGCAAACTATATGGTTTTATCCAGTAACAATAATATTTTTATGGAAAACTACATATACATAATTATGTCAACATCGGATATATAAGAATGATAAAAAACAAATGGATATCTTCTCTATACAATAATGTCAACGAACCTTATCCCTCAAACTTAACCTTTTATTTTACATTGATATTTTTCGTTATGTGTATAATGTTATATCGAAATACTTTTAGAAAATGACGCTTGCAGTTAGGTACTTTATAAAAAATATATGGAATGATGTCTGTCACAAGGACATCAAAAATGCTGGAACATACAGGATTGCCAAATTAGAAAAAAGTTAGCTATACGTAATAACATGCTTTTACACGATGTTTTACCTCAGTGATTTGACTATTTTTATACTTCCTTAAATTATCAGTTTTGCCGTCCGATATTTCGTTTTCAATGTACCATCATCAACCTCATTTTTTTAAAATTCAACTAAAGCTGTTAAAATACATATGTTTAAATTATTATCACTGATATGTTACTTGTGGTGGTTTCATTACGTTTCGGACACATTTCAGCGATCGTCAGGATTTTGAAATTCATTGCAATATTTTAATTCTAAGGATTAAAATCGATTAAACTCAATTTTTCAGCTTTCTTTGGCCTTAGAAAGTTTAATTCCACTTATTTTATTTTTTAAGGCAGCTTTAGATGTTATATGAAATGTATTTGTAAAGAAATTAAACTGAACAATTTCTAGGTTGGTTGCGACGTCATCGGATTACATTAAGTTAGGTTTAGATTAAGTCCTCTAGCCGGTATTTATGTTTGTTGTGTGCTCTGGTCCATGGCCTTCCGATGCATGGCTTGTAGTCAAAGGTGTCTTTCTGGCCTTGATTTTTGCGAATGAGTCGTTCCCGAATTTCAACCCCTCGTCTCGATTAAGAATATTTTGATTTTTCCGATTTTCTATTGCCTCCCTGTAGAACTTTTGCCAAAATTTTGCCTTTCTCATTAGAATTCTGGTATTAGTAATAGTTATTAATAGTTACTGAGAGAAAGACAAGATTTTGAACAAAACTCTTAAGGAGACAATTGAAATCCAGAGGAATCGTGATAATTTCGATCGAGATGTGGAATTTAGAAACGACTTATTTGCAGACATAATAGATATAAATACTAACCAGCGAACTAAATCTCTAATTTCAGAGTTTCTTCTAAAGAAAAAAGCGATATGTCTCGAAATATCAAAAAGTTTAAACCGATGACATGGCAACCAGCCCGGGTCAAAAACTGCCACGGCAAGTCTTAAACCAAACTATTTACGTAATTAAACCACCAATAATTGCAATTTCATTATCTGTACGTATATTTTATTGTAACAATGTTTTTTACATTTTTATTTTTAAATCGTGTATTTTTATAACTCGGGACCGTATTTAAAAAACAACGAATTTGATGACGGTAAATTGAAAAAGAAACATCAAATGGCAAAACTTACATTTCCGTGGGAAATGTATGTGAGCATAGAAAAAAATTAAATGATAATTTCTCAAAGTTAAAAAAATGTCTATTTACTCCGAGTGATCTAATGATGAATTGTTTTTCTATCTTGAGCCACCCTGTATCTTTAACAATCTTTGATGTACCCGTGACAGTCTTATCTTGGATACTCTTGGATACGATAAATACAAAAAAATATTGCTTCTGTATCCAAAGTAATTAAAGTTTTAACAAAAACTAAATATTTTGAGCATTATGAAAGTTGATTTTTCGAAATTTTTATGAAAACAAATGAAATTGTAACAAACATGACACCGTGACACTTTTATCGAGTACAGACGAACATGTGAAGGCCTAAATCTGACCAGTGAATTAATTTATCCAACACCTTTAACGTTTGGGCCCTTTTGACGCAGGTTTTGACTACAAGACTTGCAACGTATTGCTAGCCCTGGACCAGCAATCACCAAATATAGCCGCCGGTGTTCACGAGAACAAAAACGAGGAAGAGATTGGTGCAGGCGACCAGGTGAATTTTATTAATTAAAAATTCTTTTAGACGCCACTAGGGCTCTTAGGGGCCAGTCCTTTTAGTCATCGCTCTTTTTCAAATTTATTTTTCTTCCCCGTTCCTTTTAGCAATGAAATTATCGCGGTGGAAAAATTTATCCGGATTCTATATGCATGAGACAGGTCGTATTTGCATTATAAGCTCGTGCAGATTGAGATTAGGAATTTCTAAAGAACACATAGTAGACATTTTCGAAATTTAAAAAGATTAGTACATTTTACAAGCCCCATAAATGTAGCGTTTCACATTAATCTACCACAATAGATATGGAGAAAAGAAAAAATTATTTTTCTTTGTTACTTGGGGCCAATATGACGCTATTTTGGCCGTTTTAAAATATGTTGTCAGCAATTGTACTAAGGGTTATTTACAGCATGTTCAATTTACTAACAGTAATAATTAGAATTTCAATAAAATGAAGAACTCGTTACATATCTGTCAATCAAAATCATTAATTCACTATTCATTTTTTCTGTGCTATACATTTACTAATCAAAAATCTGTCTTGCTAATCTAATGTAAAATTGGAATTTAAATAAGCTGTAATTAAACAAAGTCACAAGGGTATGTCTACATTTCAAAACGTGGAATGTTTCTTTTATTCTTCTAATTGGTTGGTCCCCCTAAAAAATCTAAACACCAGCTTAACAATAGAAAGTGATTTTCTGTTTAACTGCAGACATGCCACTGCTCTTCACTGAATTTTTACATTAGATCAACAAGTACAGAGTCTTCAAAAGTGATTACAAGCCATATGACCAATAATTTTGTTTGAACAGTAAATTGACAATTAAATATCGATAGAATTGAAAATGTTTAAAACAATAAAATCAAGATTACATTAAAACACAACATTCTATTTCACCCGCTGGGAATTAGTGTAATTTTTCACAACCAATCAGCGACTGCATTATCTAGAGTGTAAATGTAAAGGTTTGTCATTATTCATTGTAAACGATTCATTAATATTGGTGATGCTAACATTTAGGGATTATTGTTGACAGTACAAACCGTGCAATGTTAATTGTCAAACTCGACGGTCACATGACTTGTAATCGTTTATGTATTAATGATTTTTTACTTAGGAAGTAACTGTTTTTGTTTGCTTGCATGCCAAATTTTGACTACTTATTGCATAAATAATCCATTGACATTTTTTTAATAAGCAATCAGGACGAATCAGAATTAAACTGCACTATTTTAACAAAAAGAAAAGTCATAGGCAAAAACTATGTATAAGTAACATGAGAAAACTTACAATTATTACATTTTAATAAATCTTTATTAAATTAAATTAAACGCCTAAAAAAGTCAAACCCATTTCTAATATGCATTTTTCTTAATTTCGTGACCAAACAGATGCAGTTAATTTTGTGCCACGCTGTACCTATTTTAATATTCGTTGAAATTTTTATTTCGTACAAAAAAAGTCAATGCATTATTTCGCATTATTCAAAGCTGAATTAAATTAAAAATTGGGAAACACATGCAGCCAAATGACATGTAAAATTCGAGGTTTCTAAAACTGGCATTTCTATTTTGAAAACTAGGGTTTGATGTTTGGCTACGCGACAGACGAGACGGATGAATGTATGCCCCTGACTGTAGTCTTAGCACACAGATTAAACCATAAGATAGCCGATCTCAGGAGGTCTGGCGAATTTTGGTGGGCTCGTCCCGACTCAAAGACACAGGTGAGTTATTTCTTTGCAACAGGTTGCACACAATATTCTTAAAATAAAATTGCCCATGATGTTTTGTAGTATTTGCTACTCTTGATGCATATAATGATGTAAAGTACTAACTGAGGCCATTAAATAGTCGTTTTAAGTAAATTAATATACCATGAAAGCCATAGTTTTTAACATGTAAAATATATTTAATATTTAACTTCAATTACTGAAGTATTTTGGTGAAAAGTGAATACCCACGAATATCAAACAACCCTTTTTACAATATAATAACCTTTTTTTTATTAAAAATGTTACCTTTTTCTAATTCTATTCCCATTTACAATTGAATTTAGTTCTTGTATTTTGTAGGTTACAGCTGAATATACATTTGACCACGGAGCTTGCATTCCCCAAAGAGTACACACAGTAGTAGTGTCCTTGCAGCATAGTGAAAAAATTTCCTTGGACGAACTCCGGGAAGCCGTTAAAGAAAAAGTAATTAAAGAAGTCATTCCAGCAAGATACTTAGATGAGCAAACAGTAATCCACATCAATCCGTGTGGGTTATTTATTATTGGAGGACCACAGGTAAAATACAACGCATTATACTAAATGTAATTTGAAAAATGAGATACAAACGGTTGAATGAAATGTATCGATTTTCTAAAAAATAAACTATTCTGGAATTCAAGTATATAACGTTATTTATTTATTTTCAGAGCGATGCAGGTTTAACGGGCCGTAAGATTATAGTAGACACGTATGGCGGGTGGGGAGCACACGGAGGTGGAGCATTCTCTGGAAAAGATTTCACGAAAGTAGACAGATCCGCGGCGTACGCGGCCAGATGGGTGGCCAAATCGTTGGTTAAAGCTGGACTTTGCCGACGCTGCCTAGTCCAAGTGTCTTACGCCATCGGTTTGGCTGAGCCCCTTTCCATTACAGTATTCGACTACGGCACCTCCAAACTGACACAGAAGCAACTTCTGGACGTGGTCAAAAACAATTTCGACCTGAGACCGGGAAAAATTGTAAAGTAAGTCGTAATAATTATTTCGTAAAATGCGCTCGAATGTAATGTCTAAATTAACAGATATTTTGGATAAAGACCAACAAGAAACTCAGTCACGATACTATAGTTGATATATTTCTGCATTTGCTTTTCTAAGTGGCCTCATGCTAAAAAGTTTGTAAATACAAAAAGTAATAGAAAAAATTCATAAATATGGTAATGTAATGCCTGAATATTACAGTATCTCGTAACTTACAAAATTCTCGTTGATACTTTAATAAATGCTGGTTGCCTATAAATGCTTATAATTTGATGAAAATCGACACTTTGTATTTTATAATACTCACATTACTGACAATTATTAGTGTTTATTTTTTATTTATGTAATAAACAAATATGGTAGAACATAAAGAAATATTTATTTTCTTTAAAAAATTTAAAATTACTTAAATAATGATAAATAATTAATTTAAGGATAAACATCACACAAAAAGCAATGCTACAAAGTAGTAAAAGTAAATAACATCTTGCTTTTTTCCAGGGAACTGAACCTCAGACACCCCATCTACCAGAAGACCAGCACCTACGGCCATTTTGGACGCGAGGACTTCACCTGGGAGCAACCGAAGGTGCTACGCCTAAACTGACAGCCCCTCCTTTACCCCCTCACCGTCTCCTAAATAACATTCTTTCTCTGTTCTAGCTCTCCCTATCGTTTCCTTCATTAGTATAGTAAGATAAAAATGAAATCTCTCTGTGATTGGCACTCTGAACCTTGGCGTACGGTGCCGGCTTTTCTCCAAGGGAAAAAACAAAACGCATAAAGAGATGCCCGCAAACGGGAAAGCCGGCATTCAGAGTAACTGTGGATGGGTTTGGCCGAGTCTCGGCATAGCCACAGTGGCGGCCCTGAGTGGGGCGTCGCTGCAATACAGTGTGAGTGGAAAAGTTCCATTTCAAGTTAAAGTATTTCACTCACACATTTGTGTTGTGTTTACGAGAAAATTACAATTTGGAAAAGAGCATTTCTGTATACACTCCGGACTATGCTGGGTACAAGGGCCTGGATATTGGCGGTAACTGGTGTAGTATGGGGCTTCTCTGAGCGGGAAAATTAGGTGCCGACTATCTCTTGTACTGATTGTGTTCAACTTTTTTTTTGACACCGTGCTATGTTCGATTGCAACGCACCCGATTTTTGTTGTGTTAGAAAAGCCCCGCAACTACTTTTGAAGTTTGTTGACTGGGCATTTGGAAAAAGCTGCCATTGGTAAATCAACTTGTAGTAGTTAATTTTTTTATTGTTTCAATAATTGGATTTCTTTAGGAAGTAGATAACAGTAGAAGTTAGGGAAATTTGTATAGATTTTAAATGTGACTATTAATTTATTGAAAAAAATTAATTATATAAACCTAAGGTGTAACGTAGAGTATATTGTATTGTAAAATTGGTGTAATTTTACTTTTTTTTTCGTATTTATCGTTTTAATAAATAATTATGTCTGAAGCACTCGGGACGAGTTCAACCAAAACGTATGACGAAATATAACAAAGTGAGACTTTCAAAACATTTTTTAAAGTTATATGTTCTGTGTCTACATTTTCAAAGGAAAGATGAATCAAAAAAATCATCTTTTATCTTTGAAATTAAAGGTAATACCTAATGATAAGTAATTGACAACAGAAATATTTTCCATTCTACTGGGAGAACCGTTGTGAGTACTTTACTATCTATTGAGCGAAAAAAAAAACAAGAACATTCTTTTTGTCCAATAAAAACAAACAATAAAGTAGTCTTAAGGCCATTCTGTTTTCATTTCATTCATCATTATCCTTAATTTATGTGCTTAAACCTTACGTCCTTTATAAAGGTATATCACTGTGCAAAGCAAGTAGGTATTAAAAATTCTATAAATTAAATACCTACGAAATGTGCATTGATGTGGGAAATCTGATAAACAGCTTAAAAATTGTAATGTGCTGTTCATTTCACATAATGTTACAAGTTACAACAACTAATTTCTATGTTTATAGTTTACAAAAAGAAAGTTCAATGCGGGTAGTTCAATTCAATAGTGGATAAAATGGCTAAAGCTAGTGGTGTTACACATCTATTACTTTCATACCACTGTGGGCTGAGCCCATTGAACTAATCTGGGCACAATTTTTAAATTTCGAGATGTAAAAGTACCTCTGGTGTAAGTACATGATGCAAAAACAATGAATTGGGATCTCGATACAAAAGTTTACAAGGCGGCAGTGTTAGTGACAATGATAGTGACGATGATGTGCACCTCATTTTTCAGGTATATGTGACTTTTAGTAGTTTCAGTCGTTTTACTAATTTTGTGTCACCTTACTATTACAATACCGCATAAGCATATTTTTCACAGCCAACCTGTCCAGTTGGCAAAAGCGCTGCCTATGTCTCGTAATATTCGTAATAAAAAAAAGAACAAGGTGTACACACTGGAGATAAGCCATCATTGAAACAAGGGTAGGATTACTGAATACATACGAATACATGCATAAATAAAAGGGTACTTACCTATCTGTTGGACACTGATATACCAGGATACATTGTTTTTTTGTCACTCAACAGTTATTAAAATGCACAACAATATTAACTCACGTTTATAGTCAGCCAACAACCTGATTTAAATCATCACATTACCGCAAAACTTTAGAATAAGCACGTTCACAACACAACAATTACTTAAAACTGTGTTTTGCGTTATAATTAATCTTTTAATTGTTGCTGAAACAATTAAATCAAACTAACAACAATGCGCGCGTTTACCTCTGCCATTTATAAGTTTACAGTGGTACCAACAGACCGACAAAGTTAGTACCAAATCGGTAAAACAAAAGATACCAAATTTGAAATAAAGAAAATTATGAAAAGACAAAAAAAAATTCGAATTCGATGCACTAATCAAATTTTGACAGGACATAGCTAATACAAAGCGAAACATGGCCTTACCGTTAAAAATGTTGTCACCGCCGTTCCTGGTGGTGAAAATTCGAAATAGGATTAGGAATTATTCAATTTTCGTGACTGAAAACATGCATACAGTGAAACTTTAGAATAAGCACTTTCACAACACAACAATTACTTGAAATCGAGTTTTGCCTTATACCTAATTAATCTTGTAGTTGTTGCTGAAAAAATTAAATCAAACTAATAACAATGTGCGCGTCTACTTGTGCCATTTGTAATCTCATTTGTTTACAGCGGTGCCAACAGACCGACAAAATTAGTACCAAATCGGTAGAACAAAAGATACCAAATTTGAAAAATAGAAAATGATGAAACGACAAAAAACAAAAAAATCGAATTCAATGCTCCAGTCAAATTTGGAGATAGCTAATACAATGCGAAACATCGCCTTACTGTTAGAAATGTTGTCACCGAAGTTCTTGGTGGTGAAAATTCATTTAGTATTTTTTGGAATTTATTATTCTAACAGATAAACAAATGACAAATGAAAAAGGTGGATCTACGCTAGGTAGTACTAAAACTGCTGTTATGCCAAAAATTCGTTCATATTAAATTTAATAATTGAAATAGGTATGTAAAAAGTGGCGGAACCTCAAGGAAAATGAAATTACAAAAAAAAAAAAAGTTTTTAAAACATTTTAAACAAGCAAAATTGTATTGAACTTAATCGATTTATTTTCATCTAAGGAATAAGCTATGGTCCATTAGTTTCCAGACACACCGTGTAGTAGAAGCAATTACTTTGATAAATTATATTGCAGAGTTAACATTTAAAATATTGTAAACGTTTTTTCAACCATTTAGAAACAATTTAAAAGCATTGCGTGCTGTTAGAGAGCGGCAATCTGCGAACACCCTGTGGATATAAAAAATAAAGTATAGAAAAAGACAGGAACACGTTGTCACATCACGTGCCATCGTATCGACTCACGTGACATGTACGCGCCTATGGCTGCGAGCAAATCTATAGCGGACATATTGCGATCACGTCCGAATTCTTCCATTTCATAGCAGTCACGCAAGCATTGTCACGTGTGTAGCATCGCAACAATATTTCACGATCTTGCTCACATTTTTAAACGCAAGACGGGCGTCGATATGGACGAATTATTAATAGAAAGCGTTAAAAAACGTTCAGTATTGTACGATATAAAATCGTGTAATTATTCGAACCAAAAAATTCGACAAGAAGCTTGGGAGGAAGTGGGACACGAACTAAAAATACCTGGTAATTACTCAGATATAAATATATTTATTTGTAATTCAGATAAAATTATAATTCGTAATAGCTTTACGTTATATTTACCGTATATCGTTAAACAAAATATTTACAGACTGGTAACGCTTAACATAATATATTTCATCATTGGTAAAAGGTATCTGTGTATACAGGATGTCCCAGAAAGGTAGGGTTCAAGGACGTCGCCAAGGGAAGGCAGAAAGGGAGAGGGCAGAAATTCGAGAAATGTATAAACATTTTTTTAAGTTAAGAAAATATTTAGATTGGATATTTTTAATAAAATATTTTATTTACTTCAACTTTAATTTTGAAAATTAATACACTACTTTATTTTTTTAAAGAATTGTAATTTTGCATAAATATTTGTTGACAAAAGAATTTAAAAATATAAAAAGTAATTTCCATATTTAAAAAAAACAGCTCTTGAATTTTAAATTAAAAAAAAAGAAGAATAAAAACCTGGCTGAGAAATACTATGGTACACAGAAAGCTTATTTTTGACAACCATGAAGATTTTATTACCAATAAAGTAGTCGACAAATCAAAAAACCCAAGAAGATTGTTTTACCTAATTTTCGTTGAATTTCTTTATTTTTTTTGTTAGTAATATTTTTTATATTAAAATATTTCTAAAAAAAAAAATTGACTATCTATTTTTACCTATAATTTATATTTGCCACTCTCTAGCCCATTGGCTGGCGACGCCCTTGGTAGGGTTACCGCTGTACTGTTACTATTTTGTTCAACTTACATGTATACAGGGTGTCCGGAAATACCGTTCGAATAATTCTAGGGGTGATTCTACATGTTAAACTATGAAGAAAAGTTCATATGAACATAGGTCCGCAAATGTGTCATAAGGTTGTTATGGCGATTCAAAGATTGCACCGGGATATACGTTTTATTTTATATCTCTGGAACCGTTTCAGATAGCCATCTGAATTTTGGCATATGAATTGCCTTTAATAGTAGGTACTTTTCAGTGTTTTTACTAAATTATTATTTTAATCAGGGGCGTACCGACAGGGGAGGCCTCGATTTAATTTGTTCACATTTTTATTAAACGTCATATTTTTGCAGTTTTCTTTAGAAATTCTGATTCCGCGGTATAAATGACATAAAAAAGGTATTCTTGTAGAAAACCTGTCAGGCTAGCCGTTTTCGAGAAAATACTCTCCAAAGAAAATAGTGCATGCATGGTCGCCCAATAATAAAAATTTCTACATCAAAGTAGGCTTATGTCGGTGCTAAGTTGAAAATGGAAAAAGGTCAAATTACTGTAGTTACGGTAAACGAATTTGACATAAGGTTTAAAAATAAAGTTTATTCGATTATTATTGTGTTAATAACAGTGTAATTGAAAAAAATCATTGTTCTCGTCTTTCAAAAAATGCCGGAATACTCTTTTGCTGAAATGGCCGACATGCACTTCATGTATGGCAAAGCAAACGGTTGTGCTTTGGAAGCTCGGAGGTTGTACCAAGAAACTTTTCCAAATCGCCAGCTTCCTTCTGATAAACTGTTCAGCAGTTTACATCAGAGATTAAGAGAAACTGGTAATTTTACGCCAAATAAGAGAGATTGTGGACGAAACCGTACTACCCGAACGGCGCAGACAGAGGAAATTGTTCTACAACAGATTGAAGCTAATCCAGGTAGTAGCACCAGAAGAATTTCAGTACAAACGAATATTCCCAAAAGTGTTGTATGGGAAATTTTACACGAGGAACTTTTGTAT